CCATAGTATTACAATACACCTAAAATACATGTGCCAATTGTTACCTATCATAGTATTACAATACACCTAAAATACATGTGCCAATTGTTACCTATCATAGTATTACAATATGGACATAATTCAGTCACATTTATTCTCTTTAACCATAGTGGGTTAGGTAGTGCATCATACCTCAGTCTCCACTGTATAGCACGTCACGTTTATCGGTCTGACTTCTATATATTATATTCCATATACTTTTGATAATTGAGAATGATAGTCATTCAAAAATTGCTTTTCTTTTTACTAAATTGTTATACAAGGTTTTAATGTCCTATTCTGCTACTGGTGGTTCTAAATTCGATGTATTATCTGGTTCATTATTAGTTAACTCTTCACTTTTACTAGTTAATCCTACATGATTAACAATATGCATAAAATCTATTGTAATCGCAGTCAGTAAACGTTTCAAACGCTTTTAATTTTCATCATTCTGTAATTATAACGGCAAGATTGACCTTATGTTTTCCATCTATTTGTTCGTTAACTACACTGTCTGATACTGTTATCACGTTATTTATCAGCCACGAAAAATAACAAAATGGATTTCCTGTATTATTTAATAAATAAGAATTCAATATAAGATTTTCTTTAAGAAGTGCTTGAACAGAGTAGTTTTGAATTTTCCTTCTTATGTTAACGCTGCACCACCTTTTTAAAGCAGAGCTATAAAACATTCCTAACATTCCTCGTGGTTCCATACGATCCATTAAAAGAACTGTAAGAAAATCAAAACGTTGATGTGGCCGTTTAAAAATAGTTTTAGTTGTAATTCGGATGAGTGAACTGGTTGGTTTAGGTAATATACATTCGAAGTAACGAATCCTAAAAATAGTTAATTTATCATTCAATGATATAAGATTTAATCCACCTTCTTCAAAAGATAAAGTATTTCTATTAACCCAGTGAACTTCCCTCCAAGCAAATTGTATAAAAGTAATTTGAAAATTAGTTATCAAGTTTTTTGGCGGTTTTAATACCTGAAATCTGTGCCATATAATACTAATAATTTGATTAAGAATTAATATTTTTCATTTTTAATGATAAAAAAGGTTGCAAACGCTTCCAGACTGTAATAAGTTTACTACATTTATCTTTCAATTCATCCCAGTTTCTCTGAATCCATACCAAGGAATTTCCTAAATACACTCCAAATAGTTTAATTCCTTGATTCGACCATGTATAGCCTAGTTTATTTTCTGTTCATGTTTTCCAAGCACCAGACCATAAACCAAGGGATTTTTCTTTGTTAACTTTGATTCCGAATATGTTTCAAATTCCTTTATTGTATTTTGAATAGCATTAAATATAAATACTTATATCGTCAGAAAATATGATAAAATAAGTCTTTGATGATAACTGAAACTTGATATTGATCTTAAGAAATTAATGTTTTTTCTTAAATTGTAAAGAAAATATTCTATTGCTAGTGTGAATAAAAATCCACTTATTGGATCTCCTTATCTTAAAAGGAATAGCTGAAGTTGAAACTGACCCATGAACTACATAAAATATGGCATTTTTATACATTGCGTCAACTAACCCATGAACTACATAAAATATAGTATTTTTATACATTGTGTCAACCGCCTTTATAATATTCCCACTGAAACCAAATCTTCTAAGTATCTTTTTTAAATAATTATGATTTCTGCGGTCAAAGGCTTTTTCAAGATCTAAATCTACAATAGCTACACGTTCATTATTCTGATTTGCGAGATTTATTATATCACGTATAACACGTCTATTATCATAAATACATTGATCTGGATCAGAGTAAGTCTGACTCTCATGAATCAGTTGACTCATAACAGGTTTCATTCTGTTTGTTATGGCTTTCGAAAGTACTTTTAATCAGTAATACTGGTCGCCAATTTTTTAATTATGTCAAATCTCCATTTTTAGGTATTAACTTTATTATTGCATTTTTCATACTTCTAGAACATTCACCTGTCTCTAGAGGTTCGTTAAAAACCTCTAGTAGAAAAATACCAATTTTGGGCCAACGTTTTACTAACCACTCAACCGTTATGCCATCATTTCCAGGGGAATTGTCTTTTGCTAATGATTGGCAAGCGGCAATTATTTCTGTAAGCGTTATTGGAGCATCTAGAGACTTTTTTTAGTAACCTCGGTAAGCCTTCAAAGAAAGAATAGTTAATTTTATTTACCGTTTCTTCTGTATATAATATCTTATAAAAATCAATAATTATAGAACTTATTTCATTTACATTCCGAGTTACCCTACCATTTTTATCCTGTAAAGCTGTTAATACAGCTTTTTGTGTACCAGATGTTTGTCCTAATCTAAAAAATAAGATGTAGGAGTATCAATTTCTCTGATTCTTTGGATTCACTCATAAATTTTGCAGTGTTTGGACTGATTTATACAAAGTTCTTTCAAAGCTTCCTCGTACATAGGCTACATATTGTTAGTCTGTGATAATTGAAATAACTTGATTTCTAGATGCTTTATCTCTCATTTCTTTTTAAAATCAATTTTTCTTTGAAATAATTGAGTATGTGCTTTGATTACTCCTTTCAAATGATCCCACCATAGTCTAACGTTTTTAAATATTTTCCTTTTTTGTTGGGTCTGAAAATCTGTTATAATTTGGTCAATTTCACTTACATATTTGGTATTTTCCAATAATTTATTATTAAAACGCCAATAAGCACAACCCTTCCTATTCCTACTCAAAATATCTGTATGTCGTACAACTACTGCTGCATGATCAGAAATTTACATGCGACAGTTCGAAAATTCTCATCAACATAATAGAATTATCACATAACTTATTCAATCTAGTTTTTAATATAATGCCTTCTCTTTGTCCAATCCAAGTATACTCCTTCTTTTTTTTTTGGATAAAGATATCGAAAAACATCGAATAAAACAAACTGATTTAACAAATCCTTTAATTTATCAACTAACATCGAATAAACCAAACTGATTTAACAAATTCTTTAATCTGTCAACTAACATCGGATAAACCAAATTGATTTAACAAATTCTTTAATCTGTCAACTAACATCGGATAAACCAAATTGATTTAACAAATCCTTTAATTTATCAACTAACATCGACTAAACCAAACTGATTTAACAAATTCTTTAATCTGTCAACTAACATCGAATAAACCAAACTGATTTAACAAATT